GACTAACATCGTTCATAGGACGGGTTTCCAAGTATCATTGTGGTGGATGAGTAGGAGTATCCTTGTTAAATAGGCATTTCCCTGTTTTAACAGAGAAACCTCTAGTAGTGGCTACGCTACTCGGGGTCACAGTTGTTCAATCTCAACACCTTGGCAACTCATTCTTGTTAGCTATATATGTGATAAATACAGACATCCGCGAGTTTTAAATTTCTGAAGGTGGTTGTACACTGCAGCCAGGCTTGGCCATACTAAACGGACTTTTCTTGGAGTTGAGCACTTCCTCTGTGCAGGATACAAGTTCTCGTCATTGCTCGTTGACTCTTCTTTGAATCTCTTCCATTTATCCAAGTCATCCCGAATTGCTGCCACTGCCACCGGGCCTGCTATTGCATGAAGGGCCTCACCTCCCCATGTGCCCAGGAGCTGTGCCTTCCTCTTGCCCACAGCATACCGCGAGGAGCTTGTGTTGGCTGGTGGCTATCATCTGCTGCCCTTCTTCAAATGGTCTCCTCGCCCCACGTGAGCGGCCCCAGCCCAGTGCTCCCTGTGTGCAAGGGGCCTGGGGACCCATTTGCCTGCGCTGGCCATACCCAAAGGCCTCTCTACTGGTCTCCTTCCTTCTCACAGGCATCAGGGGTAGCTGCGGTGGTGGTGGTGGCCCAGCCACTTCATTGCTTTGCTTTTTTTCTCTGCCTCCAAACTCTGTATGTGTTTGGTTTTCCCAGATTTGTTTCAAAAATAATCCCAAATCTCCTGTTAGGTAACACATACTTGAGGAGGTTGTTGTAACACTGTCACCGTTTTATCATCAACACCTTTGTATGTAGACAGATAAAAATGCCCTTTGTTTCATTAAGAACATCTACATTTTAATCCTAAATCCACGTGTCATCAGACTTGGTAGTGGTAAACACGAATGTAAACAAGATTGCATTAAATTGTGAGTAGTCTGAGTGCAGAGGCTTTTTAGATTTTTGTTTCTAAAGTCAGTATATAAGGAAACTTAGTCATGAAAACAGAATTTAGTGAATATCTAGCAGTAACTTTTGATTGCCAGTTAGAAGTCTTAGGTTATGTTGACCTCCGTTTCTTCCACCACTTCTTTTAAAATATATTGAAGGAATTACTCTGAAACAAGTTGTGACAACGTTGGAAGTTTGGCTCTCCTGTAACTTTCTAGAGCTGCTCACTCTGACTCTGTAGAAGGAGCACTGGCTCATTAGGGACACTATAAATAAATAAGAGGCTCATTTTTCTGTGCCATTAAGTAGGTCCCACTTCAATTCAGAGCAAATACCTTATGTAAGTCTAGCAAGGGGAACCTCCCTCAGCGTGTATGTGTTGCTGGCTCTAACCTATTGATAATCAAATTCAAAGCCTGTTTTCTCTTGTGAAGGGTGGACAAAGCTTTGTGTGAGTTGTCAAAGGAAATTAGGAGTTTAGTAACTGATGTAGACACAGAAGAGGAGGCTTCTTTGTATTTCTTCGTCCTTGTGTGCTTTTGACAAATACTGTTAACTACTTAGAATTTGGTACACTGTACTAACCAGAAGTTAAAATGATGGGTTTGGGAAATAGCAAAAATAAAAATAATATATTAATTTTTTCCCCCACCAATCTTATTGTTTCAATAAGTTTCTATAGTAATAGTTTGCTCTTACTCATTAGAAATTCACCTCAGGAAAGCCACCAAGTGTGTCTTTGTTCTCATGGATCAGAATCCTATTTTCTATCATTTTAAAGCTATGTACACGTTCCTGCGGATGCATAAATTGCTTTGAGGTGGTTTTTTTTCTTAATTTCCTTTTTCAAGTCCAACCATCATGAAATTTTTTTTATTTGTCTTCATTTAAAGCATTTACTTCCTCTGTACATGACAACTGACAGTTAACCTTGAGGAATGTTAAAATGTTCCTGACGAGAACGTGTTGGTGACACTGTGATACATCAAGCGCGTGGTTTGTGACGGCATCCAGTATTATGTAACTGTGGGCTGTAATTACTCAGATGTGATGTCTGCAAAAGTATGAACTTGGAAGAGAGCAGCATGATGGTGCTAAAGGCCATGTCCAAAGAAAATCAAATCTTTCTCTTGCATCTTGCTTCTTAGCTCTTGAGGCAGCTGTGGTGCCTTGCAGTGTAAGACTTACATAGCAGCTGAGGTGTGAAATTTCCCACTGCGGTGACATCCTAATTCATTTTGGCAGTGCTGTGACAAGAGTCAAAACATGTGCGGACCTGTTTGGTGGAACTGAGGGGACCCAAGGGAAAAGATAAAGAGATTGAAGGGGAACTTTCCTTGAATTTGCAACCTTGCTGTTTCGGTTCAGAGTTCAGTATTTGAAGCACTGATGGAGCAGGGAGAGCAGCAAGTTCCTCTGAAGCCGCTTTCTGCAAGTAGTGTGAAAATGGTGGTATATTTGTAATGTGGATGATGACCATCGGCCCTGGTCACCTGCTGACAAAAAGAACAAAGCAAAGGTACAATCTCCTGAGTGCAGGAAATGTTCACTCTTAAGATTTCAGTTCTGCTCTGTGGGCTTGAACTGTATCTTATGTGCTGGGTTAACATAGAGAGTTGCACGTGAAGCCTCCGTTGTAGTGAGCTGAGGGTTCTCCCGAAGTTGACAAAAACATACCAAAGGGCTTTTGTGAAGTGTTTATGCAAAGCAAGAGGTATCCGATTGAAGAATGCTGTTTTGTAATAAAAGGCAAGGTTGATGTTCAATCTCTTTAGCATAAACAACATTGTTTAAGAAGTGTTTCTCTCTGTAGTAATTTCCTTGGCATGGTTATTGTACCTGGCCTTGTTTTGTGCATTAAGCTGTTAATATAGTTCCATTTCACAATTATACTAGCTCCTTCCTGTCTGTTAATGGAAGTAAGAAGTTATCATGCCTGTGGACCAGGCCACACTCATTCAAAGACTACTGATCTCAAATCTGAAAAATCTGTACCGTTGTTTGGTAGTGTCTTTCAAAGTTTGAAACTTTTACTTGAGCTGCAGTTAAATAGCCTGATTGCTTCATTTTTGCCATGGTTACATTTTAAACTTTGGGTTAGGGGAGTGCCAGGAGGCACCAGTCCACTGGGGTGCTGTGGGCTTGGGGGAGATATGGGATTGAGATGAATCCGTTTTCCTCAGGGCAGGGCTGGTGTGAGAATCTTTTACAGTGGTTCTCCAAGCATCAGTTTTGGACTCCCGGAATTCACCCGGTCTTGACCCAGCTCTCTTTAGTTGGGATTATGTTCCTTTTCTGGAGGGTTACTATTTCTGTTTTTCTTTTCCACAGGTAGGTATGAGTAGACTGTAGTTTTCAGTTCACCTAAATCCTTAGATCTGACATATGTGGAGATTGGTAAGGATTGCTTGAGGAAAGGCAAAGGAAAAATAGTGTCTTCTGAGATTGATGTTAGGACTGGTAGATTGCTGATTTGAAAAATCAAACGCGAGAGCCATAGGCTGAGCTAGCAACTGGTGTGGTGTGATGAGAGTTGAGAGTGCAGAATGAAGCAGCTGGGGCTACGAAGATGATTAGGGGATTGGAACATCCCTCTTATGACCAAAGGCTGAGGGACTTGGGTCTTTTTAGTCTAGAGAAAAGACGACTAAGCAGGGGATCTTATTAATGCTTATAAATACTTAAAGAGAGGGTGCCACGGCAATCGGAACAGTCTTTTTTCAGTGGTGCCCAGTGATAGGACAAGAGGTAATGGACACAAACTTGAACATAGGAAGTTCCATCTAAACATGAGGAGGAACTTCTTTACTTTGAGGAGGGTGGCAGAGCACAGGAACAGGCTGCCCAGAGAGGTTGTGGAGTCTCCCACTCTGGAGACATTCCAGACCTGCCTGGATGCCATCCTGTGCAACACTGTAGGTGACCCTGCTCTGGCGGGGGGGTTGGACTAGATGATCTCCAGAGGTCCCTTCCAACCCTGACCGTTCTGTGAGCATCTATGCTGGGTGTGCTTTGCAGGCTTTGCTTTGGTCAGCTCTAGCCTGGTGGCGTGGACTAACCCTCCACTAGGTGTGCTCCAGGAGCACCATATTCTCCTTCAGTATTATCCATAAGGAATGCGGTTTGCAGGCTCTCAAATCCTTCCACAGCTGAACTGCAGCATAGCATGAGGTAATGTGCTCCCAATGAACTGAAATGCGTGTGTAGATGAACTCATAGAAGCTGACTGGGAAGTGAGTCCACACGAAAGATCAGTGGCTAAGACTTGCCCTTGACAAAAGAGACCAGATGAGCCATTGACAGTAAAATTAAAAAAGAGGGGTGGGATAAAGGGACCGAGGGAGGTAAAAAGCTAAATATGTAGCTTGATCGAAGTTGTGGCTTGCCAATAAATTAGTCACCCAGTTTGCTGGTGGCATGGTTGTGGGTGTAGAAGTGTATTGCAGTATTAAGAGGAGATAGTATTTTGATCTCAGCAATTTAGGGAATTTGGAAATAGGTTTATATAGGTGATGTAAACCTAAATATGAATAACTGATTCAACAGACAAATACAGACTGCAGTGGGAAAGAGCTACGATGTTTGTTAAAATGATTGAGATAAATGTAAAGGCATGCTGTTAATTTTAGATGTATGGAGATTAGGCTCAATATATGGAGTTTTGCAAGGACAGCGATAGCCTAGATAAGGAGGAGAGTGTATTTTAGCCAACCATGAAATACCTGTTTAGGTGATCTTTAGCTTAAGCGGGTGTAACTGGACAAATTATACTTTAGCAGCCAGCTGTTACCACCATCATATTCTGAGCTGGCAGCCCCATGTTTTTACTGATGAACAAACACACCAGCTTTCCAGGTAAGTGCACATATTCATACCATGACGTAAACGGAAATACATTTTACAGCAGAAGAGGGAGAAGATAGGAAAATTAGTATTGTATTGTGATATCCACGTTACAAACACTTGTAACTATACTGCACGACCTAGAGTGTATACTGGTGATAACATTTGTCTTGTTTATATTTTCCATGCTAGGTCTACCCTGAATTACAAATCACCAACGTTGTCGAAGCCAACCAACCAGTTACGATCCAGAACTGGTGCAAGAGGGGATGGAAGCAGTGCAACGGTCACCCACATATTGTGGTTCCCTATAGGTGTTTGGGTGAGTGATAGTTTTTTCAGTCTGTTTTTTTCTGCTCTTTGTTTATTCAGTCTCTTAATGAAAAAGATAGTCTGCACTATTATTCTTTATATCTCTGTATTATTATCTTCTGTGAAGTTGGTGTTGTCCAATGGTTCAGTCCTTTGGAACTACATTTGCTAGGGAGAAAATAGTCTTGTTCTTCCTGATGCTATTTTAATGAGTGACTGAAAACCAGGCTTCTACTTAATCTCCTGCCTTTTGTCCTCCTCTTTTCCTCCCATGTAGACATGCATGTATGTGCCCAGTTTACAGTTTTTTTGCTATAAGCAAAATAAATATTTTTCCCCTAAATAAATATTTTTCCCCATTATTTTTTCAGTATCTAATATTTGGTCTCTTACTGTGAAAGACAATGTGAATCTGGTTTTATTGAAAGCAAGTAAAAGCTAGATTACAAAGTCCCATGTTTCTTCCTGCAACTTCATTTTTGTAGCCATTATTTGCTATTCCCTCCTGCGTCCTTGGTGCTTTGAATTAATTTACAAATTTAAATGGGAGGTTGTCCTTCATTTTTTTTCTTAACCTTTGCTTCTCTGTTAGCTTTCTGTCAGCATCCAGAAAACAGAATCAGTTTAATTTGTTGTTTTCATTAACATTCTAGGCACAACATTTTCTTGAGATTATTCCATGAGCTATGTTGCTTTACCACTACCATTTGAATTGTGGTAAATTGGCTGCCTAGTTTCATGTTTAAATGCTGGAGTTCAGAGTTGGAACTTGCTTTTCTACTGAGCCAGGGCATCTAAAATGTTGTGTGGAAAGCAACTCAGGCAGTTATTCCATGAAATAAATAATGAAAGAAATCCAGAAAATATGCAATCTTTCTAGAATTTTTGTTCATTTGTGTAGAATAGGTAAAACACATGGCATGTTCTGCCTGGTGCCCAAGCAGTGAGCGTGCCAATTCACAACAAAGATAGGACTGCAGACTAAGCATGTTACCACTATGGTCAAAGGTGCCAAAACAGCAGATGTGCAAAATCTATGCTAAGAAGTATCAGGGAAATGTGATTGCTTGGTAGTTTCTAGATCTGATGTTTGTTTGTATGGATATGAAACAGGTGTTTATAGACCTCTGCAGTATACGAGTGTTGATACTACTTACTGCAGGTAAGAATGACTGGTTTCTTCTGAGCAAAAGTGTTCTAGGAGAACCCAAATTTAAGACTTTTGGTGGGGGGAAGGACCTGCCTCTAATAATATGATTCCTTACTGCAGGAAGGAGCCTACTGTGTGTTTCCCAGACTTCTACATGAGTTGAGCTGGTCACTTCCACCAAAAGTTTTTGTTCTAAAAAGGACATGTTCTTCTACCCATTTGTTACTGTGTTTTCTTTAGTTTTCCACATTCAAGATAAAAACATCAGCTTGTAGTGTTGATATATTCGCAGAGACAGATAAGCAACTTGTTAGAGGTGGGGCAGAACCGTGGTCTCATCTAGCTTCATCATGAGGTATTTGATCAGATTCCATGTCAGTGCACTTGCACTAATTAGAGATCTGGCAGAAGAAGATCAGACTAGTGGAACTATAAGAACTAATTTTTATTATTTATTGTATTGTTATCATAAGCAAAGCTCTGAATTACAATCAGGGAACTATTATGCTCAGGACTCCCTCTACTTATGTAGATGTGGTTAGTGCCCTGGAGAACTTACAACCTAATTTAAGATAAAAGACAATGTCATCACAAAAGCAAATGAATATAAATTGGCCATGAATAAATTTAATCTGGAAATTATAAGGAAGTTTCTGCAAAAGTGAGGAGCTCCAACAGTCTTCTGGTAAAAGGAATATGAAGTCTAGTAATTTAGAAGTTCATAAATTTATGAACAGAATTATATGCAGTTCCCTGCAGGAGTGAGGAACTGGACTTGGACTTTTAAGGTGTCTTTCCTGAGTTGTGGTTTTGAATGAAAAACTATCAGGAGTTAAATGTCTGCTATCTTAGGGAGCAAGGTATGCTTTGCTTGCTGGAAGCAAAAATTTTAAAGACATTTAAATACCTCATGCCCATTAATGCTTTGCCCTTAGCTCCTATTTTATATTTTAAAATCTCCCTCATGTTCTAGTTTTTTGTCTGATTTCCTTGTAATTGAGGTGTATGCAGTTGTGTCTGCATGTGTTTGTTTTTTGTCATCCTTCTATGCTGCTATTCATCTTTTGACCCTGACTAGAATAAAAATAATAGAAACAAAAGCCTTAGATACTGATGTTCCCAAGAGTTTACTGTGAGAAGAGTGGCCACACAATTACTTCTGCTGGAGGAAAAATGGTGAATGTAGCCATTAGCTGTCATTTCCCCATCAAACAGCCTTCTGCTTGTTGTGTGTAGTTAAAGTTGGACTTTCCTGTATGTGGTGAAAGTGCATTAGAGGAGGCTGGAGGATTGGGTCTTTTTCCCATGTGTGAGGCTGGGAGTACAGCCCATCATGGTAAGTCAGGCTTGCTAGTACCCAGCAGCTTGGTGTTCATCTACTGCTAGCAGCCCACGTTGTCCTCTCCTTTTGGCTTGCTGCCTTCACAGTGGTGAAGCTGGTCATAAGATGAACAGGTCCTCTGAAAGGAGAGGAAGTCTTGAAGGAAAAAATAAAAGTGTAGTTTGGGGGTTTTAAGAAAGACTTCGTTTACTTTTCTGGTTGGACAGTTACACTCTTAATTTATTACTTTGATTTGTCTGTAGTCTAAAAGTTGTGGTCAAATACCTTGAATACTCTTCCTGCCTTGTATGTCAAGGCAGTAGACTGGAGGCAGGGAATTGATTGAATTCAGTCTGTCAGTGTCTCATTGCCTCAACAGATTAGCTCTTTAAATAATTTTATGCAATATCATGTTGTTGGGTTGTTTTTTTTTTTCATTTTGGTAACTAATCTTGTAGCCTGCACAGACAGGTCAGTATTGGGATACTGATTTTATTAACTATCACCATAAGCAGTACTGTCTGTCTTTGAATACTTTCTTCTAAATCTTATTTGTTACGGAGTTAAGTCCTGAGAGCTTTTTTTTTTTTTTCCATTTCTTTATCTCCTGCTAATAGTACTTCAAGGTTAAATATAAGTTTTTTAGAAGTGGGATCTTGCCTGGCAGCTCTGCGCGTGCCTCCGCTATCCGTGGTGTGTTAGCTGCTAGTGGGCAATTTCAGAATTGGGGCACTGGCAGTGCCCATTCCTCAATAATTTTAGTGCAAGTAGACCCTCGATGTAGACCACCATTAAATCCATTGACTCTGGTAAGAATTAAGATGCCAAAAGAAAGTTTGGCGGTTGGCAGCTGATTGCAGGGTTGAGCATTATAAATTTTACTTTGCTTTGAGAATCACTGTCAGTATCTTGAGTCAGCTCATAGTTTCTTCCATCTGGACATTTGTTTTCTACAGAGGTGAGAAACAGTGAGTGACAGAAACATGTCTGCTTTCAGGCCAGAGCATCTTTACAGTCCAATTGCATCCCAGTCTTCAGGTGAGGCTTTCCGAGATGCAGAGAGAGCATATTGCTACAGCACTTGGCTGCTCCATTAGTTTTTTCTCTGAGACTTGTGCATGATGGTATTTACTGCAGCTATTTGTAGCAATATACTTTAGTAATATTGATCAGATTAATTGGATTATGCAGCTTCATATTTTCTTTTCTTAGGTGGATGCAACTAAAGCATAAAAGCAATAATTTAAATAAGACAAAATGAAAGCCCCTTATTTGAGTCAGCTGTGTCTTTGCAGTGACCACATAGATATGCCCCCTAAAAATGTTCTAACTGAACCCAAAGAAGAAAGCATTGCTGGTTTAATTGAAGGTACAATTTTGTGCCTGCGTGCAGGGCTTTGCAATGTTCTTAAAACTGCAAGCTTTGAGAAAATCTTCTCATGCAATAAATCTGATTTACCAATGTATTCAGTGCATGCTTCCAGGGACACGGGGAATTGCTGTACAGTTTCAGTTCATTGAAGGGGGGAAACTTCTTGTGAAAAGCAAATTGTTTAGTAAATTTTAGTTACCTTTCTGAACACAGTGAAGGCATTTGCCTTAAAACGATCTTTAACTTCCAGGTTTTAGAAAATCACATCTTCCAGTGGTGCTTATTATGGCTCGAAGCTCTGTTATGACAGAAATAGGAATCTAGGTGAATATTTAGGTCTCTTGAATGATGCTGTCAGACTGCTGTCTTCAAGGAAAAAAAAAAAATCTGGGTTTGGAGGGTTTTGGGTTGTTTTTTTTTTTTTAGTAATACAAAGATTAAAAGGTTAAATTATGCTATTTGAGTGAGGAGTGTGCTGCTTGACATAGAGCCACGAATGTGTTTTCGGGGCTCAGGCAAAGATGATAAGCCATGAGATGTGCTGGCAGAAGACCGAAGATCTGCAGTGCGTCCTTGGCACGGTGTCGGCTGTGCGTGCTGGCATCTCCACACCTGCAGCATGCAAAAAGCAGGTGCTTTTAAGACCAAACCCTGCAAAATGGTGACAGTTGCTGTGGGGCACGGGCTGCAGGGTTTCATCAGGCAGTGCCAAGAAGCCCATGTTTTCCACTTCATTTTATGGAAACTGCTCTTGAAAAATATGGAAACTGCTCTTGAAAAATATTGTGGCTGCAAACCTGGCCTTGTTAATGTTGGAGGGACATCTGCCACTGGCTGCAGCAGGAGGGCAGGATTTCTGCCTGTGTTGGGGCAGCGTGGGCAATAAGCAGTTCTGTTTGCGCTCTCCTCTCTTCACTTCTTGCCTGAGGAAAAGCAGCTGGCGAATTTGTGCAGTGTGGGCTGTGAAATGAAGTAATTCACTCTGTGTTCCTGGCTGGCGGCAGGAGTGGGCATCCTTGTCTCAGTGCCATGGTTCTTTGAATACCTTGGATAAATGTATGCCCGTACTTTGCTGAATAGATGATATATAATTTGCTGGTGGTGAAATACACCCCAGCCTAGCTGCTCATTGTACATTGTAGCCCTGAAGAGAGAGGAGAAGCTAAA